TGGCCAGTCTTTAATGTGTTTATTTGCCATAACATTTTAGGGTAAGGCGTTGGCTGTTAGCTGACATTACATAGAGTGAGAATGCATTTAAGCAGGAGTTGATGAGAGAAAAGACTCATGAGAGAAAAGAGCTACACTACTATCAGCAGAAATACTATTTCAAATTCTAAGCCCTACGGCTTTTCAAATTTGAAGGAAATAAGACAGAGAAACATATGTTGTGGTCAGGCAGTGCACCATCTCACTCATAGAAATAGCAGCCTATTGTAAAGGTCACAATAACAGCTTCTGGTAAAAATATTTTTAGTAATATTCCTAAGCAATTCCTGCCTCCTTTTGTCAGTCCTGCCCCCACAGTTCAATGCTTCCTCAGATCTGCCTCAAGTTCTGCATGGGGACCCATGAACAAGATCACTGAATTGGTTCACATGAAAAAATTCCTCAAAAAATAAGATAATTCTCATAATGAATTAGGTCACTGCTCCATTTCACAACATGGCCCCAGAAAGACCCAGGTTGGGAAAACTGAAGGGACGTGCACTGAAGTATGGGGATAAAAATGAGCAAAGAGAGGGAGGGCATGAGTATCTTAGGTCAGTATGCTTTTGTGAACTGTGTCCTCCAATAACGAAGGCTCAAAATGCAAGTAATTCTAATACTGTGCTCCCTGAGCCAAGGACTTGCGACTACCTGTTATTGACTGACACTGAATCACAGAACCTGAGCTTCTCTTTCACTTTGTTCCACAAAAAGGGCCTAACTCTTTCATAAAGATTGAGACATGTTTCCAGCATTGTCCTGGGAAGGGTGCTGATTATGACTAAGTTGGTGTATAAGACAACCTTTTGCCTTCCGTAGCAGGAGAAGGAATAGTAAGATGAATTGGGACAGTGAAAGAAAGGTTGTGAGCAAGACAGGGACTTCTGTCGAAGACAACCTCCAGCAGTTTTTCCTAGGGACATAAAACTACCACCGTACCTTTCAGCAGGGAAAAACTTGTATTTAATTCTTCTTTTTTTTCTTTTTCTTTTTTTTTTTTTCCTGAGGAATGTAACGATAGTTTTACTATAGTAAACTCAGATTTGGTTAACTCAGAAAAAGTGCCTGGATCCACATTTATTATTCCATCTCTAACAGAAATAAGTTTATGACAGAAGGGTTTATCCAAGAAATCCCATCTTCAGCCTTTTGGAGAGTACTTAACAAGAAGTCCCCATACACCTTCTGACTTTCCATCTAGAGAGCTGAACTAGTGGGATCAACCACAGTAGTATGTAACCCCACAGCTGTAAGGAATTTGCAATAGTAATTTACATCCAGGATTCAGCAGGTGCACCCACAAAACCAAGTAACTTAGAAGGAAAGAACTTGAAAAACTTTCAAGTCTTTATATCTGTGTAAGCCTCCATCATCTGCTTTCTCCATGGCAGGGTTTTTGTTATAAAGAACAATAAAGTTAATAAAAGTACACCCAATTCAATGGGTGGACTGCCCCCAGCAGGAAATGTCTGATTATATTTTTGTTATAGATGAAAGAAAGAACAGGTCCAAGTTCCTAAAATAAAGAGAAAGCTTTAGTCACCTGGAGACAGCTAGACATATACAGATTGTGTATTAACACAGTTAATACTGCCACAGTTAATACATGCTGCCAGGATATTTTCAAACACTGGATTAAAAAGAACAAGATTTTAATCTGAAATGGGTATCTGAGAACCATGACATCCTGAGTAGCTTCATGGACACTGTAATTCAAACCTGAAGCCTGTAAAATACCAGAAAACCATACATCATGAGATGATGGAGGGTAGGATTGCACAACACAGGGCTACAAAAACAACACTAAATATTGGGGCAGAGGTACACACAAATGAGATGTCCTCATACCTTGAACCACTTAAAGCCAAAATGGTTGACCTCATGCATTGATTCATTAAACAGCTTCAGACAGGCAGTGAAGTGGCAGAATGGTAGAAAACAAGATAAACAGAAGACAGGAGAGAAAAAGCATGCAATTAAAAGCAAATTACAATCAGTTTGGACAACATTAACATTTTTAAAATCACACATCTCATTTGTTCTGAGAATGATCCTAACCTATTATTGGTTGTAAAAATCAAAGCATTTGCCATTAATATAGTATAGAAAACAGAGCCTTGCATTTTAAAACTCTAAAGCCATCTAAAGGTGTCTTTCACAAGGTGTCTTTCACAATTCTACAAAGAACCTCCACAGAACATAATAAAACAAAGAGGGCTTTCTTTTAACGTAATTGAAGGAATATGAACTGAAAAACATCTGAAGAAAAGTCTCCTCCCCACCTTGGAATAACAGCTACTTGGCACCACTCTGTTACTTGACTGTATTTAACTGATACCACAACAAAATCCCATTGGACAAAACAAGGCACAGCAGCTCTCCCAGTGCTGACTGGAACAAGACACTCCAGTCACTTTTCCTTTGTGCCATCTTGTGGGTCATAATTTTTAACTGGTCAGGGTCAGCAGTTCAGTTCTTCTGTTGGAGTAAGTCACTGTTGACGTTGACTTTTCCCTCTTTCGATCCTGCTCCTTTCAATCCATCCTTCTTCTCCTCACCTCTGTACATACTGCTACATGCAAATTAATTTCTTTTTCACAGTGCTGTTTCCCACCATATTCCACCAATCTCTTCCCATGAATCTTACTCCTCTGGGCTCTCTTCCATTCCTCTCAATCTCTCTCACTGATCCTTATGATCTATTGACCCTCAGACTGCACATTTCCCTGCCTCATCTTTCAGACTGTACACTCAATTCCAGCTCTCTCTTCATCAGCTATTTCCCCTTTTCACCAAGCTCTGACCATCTGATCTCACTGTGTGCCTCTCATCAGGCTTTGCTGGTGAATTCTTTAGAAAAGCCTCCTTACTGCCTTGACATTTGTGCATTTTCCCAAAGCACTATTCTCTTTCCACATTCTTGTTTTAGGATGTTTCATGTATAAACAAAACTTCTCTTCTATGACAACAGCTTCCTATTTTACTAACCCAGACTTCTCTCTTCCTTTCTTCATAATAAACCTGCTGATAACAGCTCACAGTGGAGAGACATCTCTGAGGAGCCCATGCTCCACATGCTAAAAAAAGACTCCTCTTCCATCCTGTGACTGAAATCTTCCTTACTACCTTCATTTCTTTTCATGTAGGACAGAACTTTCATATTTCTGTTAATCTTTGTAGTATCTTTGACTCAAACTTCCTTCAAAGGGTTATTTTTTTTTAAAGCTTGCAGCATCTTCTTAATGGAATATCTCTAATATAAGACTCATTTGACTGCATCTAGGTAATGGAAGTTCTTTTAGGATTTCCTGTGTGTCTGGATCTATGCAAAAATCTTTCCTGTACAGGTTATGTCCATTTGTGCAGTAATCTCCTTGTCTGTAGCTTTGATCATGTTAATGCTACTAGCATGCCTCTGCTAGGGAATTAAGTGAAAGCTACTCATGCTTTGTGAACCGTACTCCACCCACCCTTCATTTCAAATACTGAGATGACCTGTGATCATCCTCTAATACAAGCCTTATTATCAGTGCATAAAATTGGTAAATGACCATCTTTGTGGTTACTTCCCTAACTTCAGATACTTCTAAGCCCTACAAAATTAACACACTCTACCTTCTTCAAAACCTTCCCTCAAAAGATTCACTAAGTCTTATGCATCTTGATCTGCATTTCAAGCACAGACATCATAAAAGGGTGAGTTCTATGGGATTCTAGGTGCTCAAGGGATATAAAAATAGTCACTGTCTTGTAACAAAGAAATTAGAGCATTATTACATCCTAGGAATCAAATCACATACTATTTTGTTTACTTTTCATAGAACCTGCTCCTTTATGAAACACATATTTTCCTTTCAAGCAGATCTAATCTTTGATGTGGTATTCACTACCTAGTTAGCATTTCTATTTCATGCTATTTTTTAAAGGCTAAAAGAAGTCTGGAAAGAAGGCATTCTTGAAAGTGAATTCCATAACATTGTATGATCTTAGGGTACAGCAACCAGAATTATCCTCAATACGTCTATCAGCAAACAGCTGAGCCTTACTTTAGTCTAAACAGAAACAGTTGCTTTCTTCCTGAAAACCTGAATTATTACTAAGATATTGGTATCCTCTTTTTTTGTTAAAGTATGTGTTATAAGAATACATGTTGGAAAAAACCTCTTAAAATGTTTTAAAGTGCACTTAATCAGAACTTCTTTTATTTAAGTAACAAAGAGAAGGAGATCACTCCATTGCAATGCAATTGACCCAGTGCTTCTGTGTGTTAATTACGTTCAAGTAAGGAACAGTGAAAAACACTGAAGAGGCTCACAAAAAGCCCAGTAAGAATATCAGGTTCTGCTTCAAAAGCTTTATCAAAATCTCATGGAATTTTATTCACTACTTAACATAAGTTTTCTCGATGATTACTTACGTGAGTTAAAATCAGGCACACACATGATTCTTCAGAGTCTCTTGTCTGTGGTACAGAATCAATTCACGCATGAAAGCTTACACTTGTGGCTTCAACACACAAGTCTGTATTTTTTGTGGGCATGCTTGGCTCAAGCCAAGAGATTTTCCTCTTGTATCCAGTTGTTTTGTAAGTACAGTAAGACTGTAGTCCACAAACCCAACTATGCTAATAAAAATCATCATCTTTAAATACATTCAATGAACAACACAGTGACCCTAAGTATGCTTATAGATAGGAAGACAGCTTTGACAGGCAAGACTGATGAGAAGAATTACTACTTAAAAGAATATTTTAAAGCTCAGGATACCTTATTTTATTTTTAATTTCAAGAAAATCTTACCTATGAAATAAAACTTATAATGAAGCCTTTGCAGACTTTATGAGTTCTGTTACCTAATGTTGGAACAGAGATACAGGATCATCAGACAACAACCACTTGTGTTTCACAGTAAAGCAGGAAAAATAATACTTTACTGTTTGGTTACTTTCCTAAGAGGACTACCAGTGACTTTATAAGATTGCAGACCTGTTTCTCAGCATTGATCCTGGCTGACTCCTCTTGTGCTAGCACCATTTCCCGCTCTGCAGTTATCTGAACACTTTCTCTGAGTGCCTCTTCCAATTCTTCAATCCGATCATCCTTTTTACGTAGATTGTCCTGGAAAATGATGGGAGACTAGGTGAAGATGACTTGTTTGGAACCACAGCTTTTTAATCAACCAAGTTTTACGCCAACCAAAATGTGTTTCTCCCTCCCAAGATGCAAGTGCAGGCAAATTATCTTCACACAAAGGAAAGAAAGATGAAGCGATGCAAGAGTAGGAAGATTACAGTAAAGAGAAGGAGAAAGCTAGCAAAGCAGGACCTCAAATCTTGTCCTTTGGACAAACCACAGTCCTGTGAAATTATATAGCATAGATAAGCAAGGATCGTTGGTAAATAAAGATTAGTAAGCAGTTCCAAAGAAGCATAGAAGCCAGAATTGGTGGGAAGGTAGCAGGCATTCAGCAGTGCCCCTTTGCTCACACATTCACCAGCAGGTGTGGTAAGAGGGAAAACAGCGCTGCAGTTTGGAATTTGCAATTTCCAGGTTAAGGAGGAGAAAAGCAAACTAACTCAACAGAGTTTTCCATTGTTCAGATGAAGTCTTTAAGGAAGTTTTTAATCAAAAACTCCCTAGGAATCATGAAGGATCCATCTGGGCTGTCTCAATCTCAGACATTAAAGTATAAAGAATTCCTTAAAATTTCTTCAATTAAGTGTATCTTCACACTTGCAAGTTCAAAATGATCCACATATATTCGAAGACCATTGAAGAAAACTGTATTGCTCCTCAGAAAATATACTGGTTTACTGTTTTATAAAAACAGTAAAACTTAGAAAAAATACATAAAAAATTAAAGGTATTGTTATTTTTAAAGGAGACCCTCTTATTTCAATATTGCTAGGAAAATAAATGTGTATGTCCTGCTTCTGCTGTAGCAGCTTGGACAAAAGACTGCGAAGCAATTTGTCCTGACAGGTATAAAGTGAATGTCTGAGACCATGGCTGCTTAACAAATCCATCAGAAATGAGCAGCTTGATGGAAGATTTCTGCATTTCTTCTCTTGCAGATTGGTTTAGATCACAGAGTTCAGATGAGATATTAACATACATTTAAGTTATCACATGGGCTTTTTAGCCACCTCAGCATCAGTGGAAGAATCAAAAATGTATCCCTTTTGTTTTACACATTTTGCTTTTTGTCAGATTTACCCCTTTGTCTTTTGCCCTTTTGCAATTAGGACTGAAATTTTCCACTGTCTCTCTGAAAGTGTTTCACACCATATAAAGAATAAAGAAAAAGATGACTGACTTGGAAAAAATTTGACCTTGAAACCTTCACAATGCAAAAATTAATCATTGAAGTTTAAAGAATGAACCTGACTTATTTTTTAATTCCTCTTTTCTAGGACTTGGCATACATCACCAAGGATATTTGTTGTATGAACACCATTTCTGGCAGTCTCAAAACTGCCACTTTAAATAAGAATGTTTCAGCAGAGATGCAAAGCTTTATATCAGACCAGTGCAAGATCTCTGGCACTACCGGCCCTTGTGTAGAGAACTGCTGGTATTCAGCCACTAGCACAGGCAACAGTATTTGTTAGGCTTTGCAGCCAGAAGAGCTTTCTGCTGATGGTTACTTTCCAAAGAGGGTTCACAAGGCAAGTAATTGCTGATTTCTAAAGACACAAACGGAAAGATCTTAATTTCAAAAATACAAGTTGCAGTACATGTTTTCATACTTTTTCAATCTTTCTGAAACACTGATAATATCTTCCAAAACTACTTTATGGTTATGATTAGCCTAACTGAAGACTCATCAAAAAGATTAATAACAAGTTTACAAAAACTCAGCACAGAATATTAACTGTGCCAGAGATGAAAAATATCTACTTGCCTATCTGTATTACACAATAAATACTGACTTGATAACTCGTGATACATGGATAGCCAAGGAAGTGTGGAAGCGTAGCTTTCCATTTCAAACAACAGAAGTGGGAATGGTTCATTTGAACAGCTGCGTATAAAATCGAAACCACTTGAAAATAAGAATGCAGAACAAAACATTCTAACACATAAGACATGTCCACTCTTCATCCCAGGCACACATTTAAGAGGAGAATTTGACATTGTATTAACCTTCACACTGTATAGTGCTCTATTCAGACAGGTGTATTCTTAAGGGACAGGAGAAAGAGCAAGTGATGGTACCAGAACTGAACAAGACAGTGAAACATTACCTGCAATTGAAAAGTCTGTATTCATATATAATTACTTTTCCTAAAATAATAAGCAAACTTTTACCTATACACTAGAGGGTTGCAAGATAAAAAAAAGCCAGTATTGACACAGTTAATTACAACTAACTGCCTAGAAATTATGATCTTCCAACATTAATCTAGTATTAATAACCCATCCTATAAGAAAAGATTATTTACAAGTTTTCACTTACTGCTCAGACAAACCTAGTTAAAAGGTGTGCAAGTTTACTCTCCTAACAGTGTCACAATGTGCATAAACACCTTACAAAACCACACCAGTGTCTGGCAGGAGTTGCAGATTGTTGCTCAGCCAGATGGCACCTGCACTACTGCAGAACAGTCTCAAGACACTTTTAAATAATTCTTTTGTTTCTAGCTCTTTGATTCATGAATAATTGATTAGCATTTCAATTATTATTTTTAAAATAAAAGATACTGTTTCAAACAAAACATACTAATAGAGAAAAAGTAAATAAAAGCAAGCCAGCATCTGCCTTTTAACATACCAATACGGTTTTCTAATTGTTTGGCTCTAAACTCTGAAGCATGACAGGCTCATGCTGACCTTCAACCTGTGCTGCTGCTCTCCTCTTCTTAGTTAGATGAAATATTCTATCTTCATTGTGATAAGCATTAAACTCTGCAGAAAAACTTCTGTTAATTATAACTAGTTACAACCTTTTTCCTGCAGTGACTGATCCTCTGAAGCAGTTGACTAGAGTACAACTTCAGTTGCTCCATTTATACATTAGAACTTGACACTGAGGGCAGATTTATCTTCCTGTATCTTGATAAAATTGCAGAGTGATAAACAGTGGCAGTCCCCTTTCATTAAGATTATATAGATGACTATTCAGAAAGAAAAAAGAAGTATTACTTACCTGTACAGTAACTGGGTTCTTAAAGATGTATTAACTACCCAAATATCTCCGTGACCCTCCCTCCCTCTCCTCTGAGTCCCATATGCATGAGATTCCACAGCAGAGATGGAATTAAACTGAGACAAAGGAGATAGCTCTGCTTTTATGCTCACTGGTGGCAGCACAAAGAAAATGAAAAACCCATCCGACACTGTGGGAGTGCCAAGAATTCAGGCACAATAAAAACTTTTGCTACCTATATGATCCTGTAGCTGATTCGTATGCAAAACTCATTCCAGCACATCCCTGTCCAAAAGCCTGGAAGGAAAAGTAGGTGTGACTGATGCACATTTCTGGGCTTTTTCTTTCACTTCAGGAAGGAAGTGGTAGGATGTCCAAGTGATGCATGGTAAAAGGATGTATCAATTTAATCTATCCTGCATTCATGTGATGTGTGATCTGCCATGAAGTTTTATGAAGGTGCATGAAATAGGATATATATTTTCACCAAGGCATTTAGGTTCAATTAAATCTAAGGTATCTTGGCAAACTTCTTCATAACTGTGTCTTGAACCAGACTCATAAAGGTCTCTATGGTCTAGTTTCACTCTTTGAATTAGAATTAAGGTGGATTTCTCTAGTTAACTCTTGGGAAAGATTATTAACAGTTTGAGAAGGCAATGAAATTCTTCATTTAACTGTTAAAAATATTTCTAGGGCTAGCCAATCACCTAGGTAGGAAAAGGTCATTTTCACATAACCCTGTAATTAATGCAATAGTCCATTTTGCCTGTGTGCTTTCATAGAGCAGAGTGAACATAATACTGGAAGTGTTCTGAACTAGGAATCAATTATTTCTTAAACAGTGAAATCATTACAAACACTTACGCCTGTGAACTATTGCTCTTTCCTATCATGTATTTCCTCCATATATGGCTTCCAAGAAGCCATAACCTAGATAAAAACCTAATGATAACCATCTCAGTCCATTCTCAATTGAATAAAACTCTCCCTAGAAAGAAAAATCCTTCTCTGTCAATTGACCTTCCACTAGGTAAGAGGAACCTGGGAACTCAGACTGTCAGCTGCCTCAAATACTACTTAAGAGCTTCCTCCTGTATACAAACTGTCACCAGGGGGACCTTATAGTGACCTTTCAAAATCTGAAAGGAGCCTATAAGAAATCTAGGGAAGAGCTGTTCACAAGGGCATGTAGCAAAAGGATGAAGAGTAATGGTTTTAAACTAGAAAAGGGTAGATTTAGGTTGGATATTAGGAAAAAGTTCTTCAATATGAGGGTGGTAGATCACTGGAACAGGTTGCCCAGAGAGGTGGTAGAGGCCCCATTCGTGGAGATATTCCAGGTCAGGCTTGAGCAATCTGATCTAGTAACACTGTCCCTGCTTACTACAGGGGAATTGGACTGGATGATCTTTAAACGTCCCTTCCAACCCAATACATTCTATGCTTCTATGATACTATGATTTGGAGGCAGCCCATCTACAAATGTTAGAGAATTTTCACAGTTAAAAAATATGATGTCCTATTAACTGTAAGTCTAACATGCATGCTGGTTGATTAATATGCATTTATTTCAAAAATTAGTAAGTTTCTTCCATAAAGTTCCCTTGCTTCCTGTCTTCAGCCATAACCAGTACCAAATGTAAAGAGGAAAAATTTATCCTACTGTAGTCAGCCCATTACTGAGGACTTCTAGTTTGTCATCTGAGGAGTCTACCAAAAGGTGCCAGAAGACTCTCACTATGGTAGTTATCATAGAACCTTGTTCAAAAAGTGTTTGGGGTCCCTGTGCAACATCTAAAGCAGGAGATGTCCATAGCAAATAATTTCTCTCTCTGTATTCATTTCCATTTGCAGAAGAAGATGGCAAACAAAAAAGCAAGCTGTCTTTAAGAGTGAAATAAAAGACTTTATAAATTTCTGCAGAAGGAAATACCTTTAAGGTAGCATATAGCTTGGTAACAAGATG